GTCAAGCCACTCTTGAACAAGAAACAGCGCAAGAAGCGTCTCACCTGGGCCAAGGACAAAAAGGACTGGACTGATGCTGAGTGGTCCAAAGTTATGTTTTCTGATGAAAGCAAGTTCTGCATTTCCTTTGGAAATCAAGGACCCAGAGTCTGGAGGAAGAGCGGAGAAGCACAGAATCCACGTTGCATGAGGTCCAGTGTAAAGTTTCCACCGTCAGTGATGGTGTGGGGTGCCATGTCATCTGCCGGTGTTGGCCCACTCGGTTTCCTGAGGTCCAGGGTCAATGCAGTCGTCTACCAGGAAGTTTTAGAGCACTTCATGCTTCCTGCTGCTGACCAACTTTATGGGGATGCAGACTTCACCTTTCAACAGGACTTGGCACCTGCACACAGTGCCAAAACCACCAGCACCTGGTTCAAGGACCATGGTATCCCTGTCCTTGATTGGCCAGCAAACTCGCCTGACCTTAACCCCATAGAAAATCTATGGGGTATTGTGAAGCGGAGGATGCAATACGCTAGACCCAACAATGCAGAGGAGCTGAAGACGACTATCAGAGCAACCTGGGCTCTCATAACACCTGAGCAGTGCCACAGACTGATCGAGTCCATGCCACGCCGCATTACTGCAGTTATTGAGGCAAAAGGAGCCCCGACTAAGTATTGAGTGCTATACATGCACATTCTTTTCATGTTCATTCTTTTCAGTTGGCCAACATTAGAGAAACAAACATTTTTTCATTGGCCTTTAGAATATTCTAATTTTCTGAGATACCAGATTTGATGTTTTCATTGGTTGTCACCTATAAATATCAAATTTAAATGTAATGAACATTGGAAATACATTGGTCTGTGTGCATTGCATGAATATAATGTACAAGTTTCACGTTTTGAATGGAATTACTGAAATATTATCAACCTTTTGATGATATTCTAATTTACTGGCCAGCACCTGTAGTCCTTTTTCTTTAGAGCTGCTGTTGAGCATGGTTCGTTACCATTTTATTCCGTTTGGTTCGTGGACCTTAAAAATGCCACTGCAATCCCACAATGCATTAGCCTAGTGAACTAGACCAAATTCTTGCTTTGCAAAGTTTGGTCTAGGAATGCTCCACTGGAACCTCTGCAGCCCCTAGCAGCATTCTGGCTGGCCAATCACAGCTCTCTAGAGGGGTTTCAAACACATAAAGAGCTGTGATTGGTCCATAATGGTGGGCCAATCATAGTGCTCTATCTGCTTAGTGAACAAATCACAGAGCTTTATCCGCTTTGTGGGCCAGTCAGGGCACTCTATAGGCCTGGTGGGTGGTATGATGCAACAGAGTGAAACAAGATGGCGACAGCTCGTTTGAAACAGCTTTTACATCAATTTTGGACTATTAGAACTTGGGCTTCATTAGAATCAGGAGCAGATAGATGTATTTAAGTGCTTTTTTTTTTAGAAAAAATTATGAGTTTTCTCCTTCTTCAGCTGTGGGCCGCCTCATTTAATGATAGCTGTTGCTGTGAGTATGTCACATTCATTTTCCAGTAGCATGTGGAGATCATTTGAAAGACAACGGTAGAACCCGCCCCACAACCGAGAGCCGTCAATGGAGCGTTGCCAGACTATACATTTATTTAGTCTGGCTTGCCAGGCTAACAATGCATTCCATCACAACATCAGTTCCAAAAAACCTTTACAAGCAGCTGAAATGACCTTCAAACATCTTGGTCTGATTTTCAGGGGCAAACAAGCTGCTGCCTGCTGAATGGGACATGTAGCCAATCAGAGAGCAAGGTGATGGAAGCTTGCAGCATGCTCCTCGTCCACCATGTTTCTTTACTTTGCAGTCATGTTTTGTCTCACAAGATTTCCTGTCTGAGAGGGGAATATCAGAGAGTGAAAGCGGGTTATGTATAGTTGTTGCCAGGGGCGTAGCACCAAATTCTGGGCCCTAGGTACAAGTCTTCCAGGTGGGCCCCCATGCTCAATTACTCAATATCTCTCTTACACATTTTTTGTCATGCTATAAGACAAGATAATAAATATGATCCTAGTTTAACCTCTATATTGAGCAAATACAAATGCCAGCATAATAAAAGTGAAATGCCCAGACTTCACATATAATTATTTTTATTTGCCAACAATGTGTTCAAACAAAAATCCTGGAATTTATTTTCCAGTAAATGCCCACTGACGGGTCTTCATGTTAGCAAAATCACTTATGAGATCTTTAAAGTCCAGTCCTTTGGCTAATTGGCTTTCAATAGAAAGAAGAGCTAGGCTGTTCAGTCTATCCTTGGACATTGTTGATCTCAAATAATTTTTCACCAGTTTCAGTTTGCTAAAAGCCCGTTCACCCCCAGCAACAGTCACAGGTAGTGTGCAAAATATCCTCAGTCCAATACAAACTTCTCCAAAAATGCTCTGTAATTGCATCCTGTATGGCATTAAGCAGCTCAAGAGGAGACCGAATGTGTGGGAATGTGGCACCATATATTGTTCTCAGGTGTAGCATCTCATTCCCAAATTCAGCTGTGAGATCCTTGTAATATTTTCTCATCAGTGCCTGGCATGATATCTTCATCTGCTCTTCAGTCATGTTTGTCATGGTTCGTGATGTTAAGCTTTGCTAATACTGATATATCTTGATATATTAAATACATATGACATGAAATAAACCAGGTTCTCTCTGTGAATGTAATGTACTCTAAATTTTATAATCGCTGCATTATCAGCCAAATTATAAGATTGTCCGTTTTCAAGATCAAATATAAAGAAATTTAAAATAGGCTTAAAATATCTAACCAAGTCAATAACAATCCTCTAACACCAGTGTCATCATGCTATACGAAAAACAGTGGCAGCTTCACATTCCTGAGATTACCACGAATCCATCGATACCAAGTTTGTCCTGGTCCATGACTGGGAAGGAGCTGAAATATCCACACAGAGTGAACCTGTTTTTACTGCAAGGTCCGCGAATTAATTGGCGGCGGCCGCCCGCGATAATAATTCTGGTTAATATATATATATTAATTAGTGTTTTCACTGACAACACTAATTAATTTATATTTGATCTTGATGGTGAAACTAAAGGCGTTTAACACTGAACACCTAACATGATTGCAGCTTCTGAGAGCTAGCTAATATCAGCTAAAACTGTGTTCTGCTGCTGCTGCTCACCGTCCTTCTACTTGCTTCTGTTCAATTAACCTTTTCTCCTTCTCCTTCTTTTCTTTTCTGGAAGCCAGATTTCCCTTTCTTGGGAAAAGACATGACTGACTCTCCTGCCTCCAGCTCTGGCTGTCGGCATCTGCGATGTCTCATTAGCTGTACATGCGGCCGTGCAGCCCCTGGCTGCGGGTGTGGACTAAACCACTTTGCACATTTTTAAGGGGTGATAGATGCCTCAGAGATTATTCAGTTATTATTTTTAAGGCGAAATTCTGTTTCTTAACCTCTTTATCCAGGTAAAGGGAAGTTTATTAAGACATTAAGTAAGTTGGGGGGAAAAAACAACAACAATAAAACATTTTTATTCAAAGCTGTCTCAGGGCTCCTCCCTGCAGTGGGCCCTGGGTAAACGGTACCCTTTCCCCCCCCAGTCCGACGCCCCTGGTTGTTGCTGATTTGCTGCATAACACACACTGTATAATCAATCAATCAATCAATGATACTTTATTAATCTCAGAGGGAAATTAGAGTTTCAGTACACACAATTCAGAGATCAGACATACATGGGCAAAACATATGACAAGAATTGGTGACTGTGGTCATTTGCAACCCTGAGTCGCGCTACCTTACTAGAGATACTGTAAGAGGGTTACATGAGGATTGGTTCAGGTGGAGGGAAAAAAAGGCACTTCAGAGTTACCCTCCCACCAGGAGGGCAGCTTTGCTCTGCAAAAAAACACCTCAAACATATATGCAACAGACTTCAGACAACACAAGTGTCCACTAGGTGGGGTGGTGGGTTGGGACTATCCCTACTTCAGTTCCTGCAGCCACGATAGAAGCAGCCCATGTCACCTCAGTGTTGATAAGGGGAGGAGCATTGAGGGTTGGAGGGTTGCAGTGACCCTGGAACGTTTCAGCGGCCTTCCCACAGTCCCGCCCAGGCCTTGCAGGCTCAAGGGCGCCAGATTCCAATTAGAAATTGTTTTGGGGCCAGACAGAGATAATTTCCTTTCTGTCTTACAGTTTGTTGGTCCTCAACCTCTCAAAATCCCAATAATGGACATTAAACTATCCCAATCCGTGCTGATGTGTCTACTCTATCCTTGATGGCATCCATCTTCTGTGCCAATGAATGAATCTTGGCCAAATTCCCAAGCTTACGATTTATCTCAACAATTATGTGAGTCTGTGAATTCACAGCGCAGTGCAATCCATCTCTGAGCTCGGGGATCAGGCCAATATTCCTCGACAGCTCGTAAATTTTCCAGTAAGCCAAGTAGCCTCCAATGTCAATCAGCAGGAAACCCGACACCAACACCACGAATATCCACACATCTTCAGAGTCCTCCACAGACAGCTGAGATAGACAAATCAAGTTCCACCGTTTCCAGGAGTCAATGATGTGTCCGACTGGGTCTGTGCTAGAGGGGCATCCGGGAGCCCCTTCTCCCGTTCTCATCGTTGAAAAAATTGTATCAACCGCGTTGAGTGACCAACTGACGAGATCCATTTTAGTGAATTTCAGTTTCCAGTTTCCAGAAAAAATGCAGAAGCAGCCGTGCACCCAGCACACACAGACAGACAAAGGCCTTGAGGATAAGATATGGAGGAGAGGAGAAGAAAAGCATCTGCACCCTCCAAGAGCCGGAAGAGAAAGGGCTGTGTGTAGTCGTTGCTGAGCTGCTGCATACCACACACTGTATAATCAAAACTGGTAACCTCCGATTTTATCACCATACATGGTGATGCTAAGCTACGTAGTAAAATAACTTATTCAACTCAATTTTTACAAAGAATCCCATAAGACCTATTGTTGTAGTGTGATGTCTGGCACCACTAGAAGATCTTTGTACGTAGTGTGATGCAATGTGGGTGGAGTTCTGTGGTCTATAAATAAAAGAAGTGCAGGCCTCTCTTGTGTGAACATTGTGGGAAACGTTGTTACAGACTATGAATACGAGATGCCTGAGATGAGACAGCACACGTGCACAGATGTTCATAAACATGTCTCCTTGTTCCTAATAGCAGGCCCGGAGTGGCTAATCGGGAGGGTCTGGAGAATTCCCGGTGGGCCGCGCAATGTTTGGGCTGCATGGGCCGGTGCTCTCGTTTTTGTTTTTTATCATTTTATTTTTTTTTTTTTGGTGCCGGTGTTCAGTCATGGCACTGAGGCCGCCGGGCTGATCTCATACGCTCCTCCCGGCTGTCTCTACCTGCAGGCTGCAGCTCGTTTTTTTTTTCTTTTTCCCCTGTATGCGCCTGTGCGCACCACGTGACCACGCAGTTGACGGAAAGATGGAAAGTAGAAAGAGCAAGGGTGGCGCGGAGAAGGCAATAATTAAAAAGAGGAAAGCGCTGGAAACAGATGCAGCTAAATGTGCAAAAATGAGCACCTTTTTTTCTCAAACAAGCTTGCGGTCTTTAACTTCAAATGAAGATAAAACGGGTAAGGCAAGTCAAGATGTTAAACTTTACCGGCTGCAAATCACCATTCAAGTTAATTAAGCATCAATAATGAATTATATGGCGTCATGACATAACGTTATGTAATATAGTTAACTGTATGATGTGACTGATGCCACCAAACTGTCTTGTAGCCCACAAGATCCAGTAGGCCTAATAAGCACCAGGCAGAAACCCACCATTCCAGAGCGGACATGTACAGGTAGGATTACTTATTGAGTCAGTGAACTGAATATTATTAAAATTTATATGATGAAAACTATCCTGGCTCTATATGAAAGTGTTCTAAAATGCTAGATGATTCAGCATTGATCAGAAAGCGTGTAAAAAAGGAAAATGAATGCTGAAATGTGACAATTTTCACACAGTGTAGTGTCAGAAGAAGAGCCAGGAGCCAGCAGTGAGGGTATTGCTCCTGTTGGGATAGAAGGTGAGCCAACTCATGTGCAAACAAGCAAACATTAGTTTCATTATAATAATTTTAATGTCCAAATAATAGTAGTGACCTGTTGTATTTTTATTAGTAAATGCACAAAGCCCACAACAGATCGCTATTAGAATGAAAGTAAAATGAAATAAGTCTGCATATTTTGCCATAGAAAATATTTGAATTGGTTACAAAAAATGTGTTTTCCATATCAAATGTGCTAAAGCTTTACAGATGATTATTTTAATTGTGTGCAGGTGAGTCTAGGGAAACTGGAAAAAGTGTGAAAGGGAGTGCTGAGTCATTTCATTTTAAAGGTTTGAAAATCTCAGAACAGCTGTTTGAACAGAAGGTAGATTGTTATATTGTTAGAGAATGTGTTGTAAAGAACAATGTTGGGAGATGTGCACTGATGTTCAAATAAACCTACATTGTAAAGCAACTCCTTCTTGCACTGAATTACAAGGCTTTACCGAGTAGTGTGCTTTTGTAGACTATACATATAAAGTTCTAACATGATTTTAATAATAATTCGTTAAGTGGGCCGGTCTGGGGTCTGAAACTCCAGGGCTGAAAATGTGTCCCACTCCGGCCCTGCCTAATAGTTTAAGTTAATCATACTAAGTGATATCAATGAGTGTCGGAACATCTACCTCTGAGATGCAGCAACAACACGTATCATGGTGTAAAGTAAATAATACGCTCATTTAAAGAGAAGTTAAAGAAATGCCAACAAAAGACACGTGGGCTGTAAACAATAAGACATTTCCTAAACAAAAGAGTCAGTCACCTAAAACACAAAGGTACCAAAGATGGAGCCCTGAGGAACACCACAGGTCAGACTGAGTGTTACCCAGGATCACTCTGTTTCCAACAGAGAAAAGGAGATTCTTTAGACTCCTGTTCTGAAACAAGAACAAACCTCCTCACCTCACAAAGATTTATAATGAAGCTGACAGACTGAACCAGGAGGAAGGGCAGCTGAGAGAAGAGAAACTACAGATGAAGGAGGAGACGGAGAGATTCAGGGAGGAGCTGAGCTGTTACTGAACTATAGAACAGACACAAACTTCCACATTCAACACAGTTCAACATACAAACCACAAACATTCACTCTATTCAACATGGACTGTTGTGGGCTTTCTCTGCTGGTTGTCACAATTCTAACAGGTCAGTTTAAATCTACAGCTTTCTTGGAATGTGTTCAGTCTGAGGTTAGATGAGTCTGACTCACTCTGAAGAGTTGGTTTTCTAAAAGTTCCAAACTTATTTCTCTTCTTTTAGGAGTCAGCTGTGAACAGCTGACTGCAGTGAAGAATGAAGAGTCCAGTTTAGAAGGAGCCCCTGTTACTCTGTCCTACAGTTACTCTAAATTATCACCTGGTGATTATTTCTTCTGGTACCGACAAGATCCAGGAGAACCTCCAGAGTTCCTGATCTCTCACCTGGAGTCTGAAGAAATAATAAAAGAATCAAGGTCAGGATTTTTAGTTAAAGTCAGAAAAAAAGAAAATCATGTGGACCTGCTGATCTCCTCTGCTGCAGCGACAGACTCTGCTGTGTACTACTGTGCTGTGAGGCCCACAGTGACAGGAAACAGTAAAAGTGTGTAGAAAACCTGCAGAGCAAAGACAACACAATACTCCACAACATCCACTAGAGGGACTCACACACTGGGAACCCACTGGTTGTTGAGTGGTTGGACTGATGACAAAGACAACAGACACATGAAGCAGCAGAAACAAGGTGAAGTTGCAGTAAAGCTGGTGGAGTTTAAGTGGTTCAACATCTTTAAATTCTGTTTTATCCAAACTCAGAAGCAGGAAATGATTTTATAACCATTCTCTAACAGTGGATAGGCATTTTCCTAGTTTAATCAAGTTGTAAGAGCTACCGCGAGAGAGAGAGGGACAGGCAGCGGAATAACAATAAAAGTTACATCAAATGGACATAGGAGGCCACCCAGAGGCAGCAGATAGATTGAGAACAGCAGTGGGCTCAGTAAAGACCCTTGAGGGACTCCATGATTGAACACAAAGGTCTCAGACATGTCCTTCTGAATCTGACATCATGTGAGCTCCCAGAAAGCTCTGATTTCAGCCATAAGTGTGTTTCCTGGTACTCCCATATAACGTTCTAGCCTGCCCAGTGGTCTGCTGTGTCAAAAGCAGCATTTAGATTCAGCAGCAACAAGACTGGTTTTTAATCACGGTCCACCTTAAACAAGTTCTTCACAACAACACCCCCCCCCCCCCCCCCCTGCCTGCCTGGCAGTACAGCAATCAGAACTGATGTCTGAGTGCTGAAGATTAGCCTTTCAGTTTTGCTCTCTCAGGTAGAGAACCACATCCCTCGGGAGGCCCTGTGGTGGTACCCCGGGAGCATGGGGTACCGTAGCCTCGGATACAAGCTGTTATAATAATAACAATAAATTTTATTTAAAAGCGCCTTTCAGAACACCCAAGGTCACTTGACAGAAAATACAATAAAACAATAATAAAACCCAAACAAGAAAAAACAAAGAGAGAAACAGTTCAATAAAATCAGAGGTTGTAGGCAGATTTAAACATATGTGTTTTGAGTTTTGTTTTGAAAAGGGTAAAACTGTCGATGTTCCTGATGTCTGGGGGAAGTGAGTTCCAGAGACGAGGAGCAGAGCGGCTGAAAGCTCTGCTCCCCATGGTAGCGAGACGGGCAGAAGGAACCGCAAGATGGATGGAAGAAGAAGATCTGAGAGAACGGGATGGGGTGTGAATACTTATAAGGTCTAAGATATATGGAGGAGAGAGGTTATGGATTGCTTTGAAGGTATGGAGGAGAATTTTGAAGATGGACCTGAATTTAACTGGGAGCCAGTGAAGCTATTGGAGAACCGGGGTGATGTGGTGAAAGGAAGGGGTTCTGGTGATAGGTCCCTGTATGATGGGTGCCAGAGCTTGTCCACTGGTCTTGCCTCAAGTGGAGGAGTTGAAGCATCTCAGGGTTGTGACCTACCAAGTGGTCAATTTTCACGTACAAATTGACCAGAAAGTAACCTTTCAGCTGCAGACACAAAAACACTATCTGTTTGGCATCCGACTTCCAAAACAAATCTCTGCCACAGTTCATGTTATTGCAAAGATGCTAAAACATCTTTGCTCAAGGCCTCACTACAACCCATCCATCTCTCTCTGCAGTGTTGGTGACAAACTCCTGAATTTTTTAGGTGTGTTCTTGCTGTGTCGTATCTCTAATTCCATGCTGTAGTTCTTTTTTAAAACACAGAGCAGTTTTGTTTACCTGTTTTCCTGCTACGTTTCGTTTGCCTTCTCCACATGGTTCTCTCGCTCTGCTTTTTGGGGAACCATCTAAAAATAACTCTGACGCCTAAAGATCCAAATGGTACTCCATCACCTACCGGTGACCCACTTCCAATTCCATCTCCATCTCTAGTCGTACCTCCAACAGTGTTTGGGGGTGGGGTGAATTTTATTTCCTCTCCCTCTGTTCTCTGTTTCAAGTTACCCAAGTTCTGGTTTGAGTGTGTGTGTGTGTGTGTGTGTGTGTGTGTGTGTGTGTGTGTGTGTGTGTGTGTGTGTGTGTGTGTGTGTGTGTGTGTGTGTGTGTGTGTGTGTGTGTGTGTGTGTGTGTTGATATAATTCATGTCTAAACATAACGCACAGCCTTGGTTGACTTTGAGTTCATAACGGTGTGATGTGATTAAATCCGCCAAATCCAAAATCCAAATTCTAAATTTTTTCTGTATTTCTAGATAGTTAAAAGTAATTTAGTTATTTTTACAAATATCATTTGCAGATTTAAGTTTATTTTAAGTATCAAATTTTACAATACTAATCTCTATTTCCTTTTGTGGTACATTCACATGTAGGCTCCGCACCCGATCCTCTACCCACGGAGGAACCCATGCAGATAGGCAGAGCCAAACTCTCTCAGGAGGAGAAAGATCACCGACGCAAATTTGGGCTTTGTCTATATTGTGGTTTGCCGGGACATTTTGTGAACAACTGCCCCTCCCTGGTAAAAGGGGGCGCCCGCCGCCAGTACTGGTGGGCGGAAACCTCAACTCAGCATTGTCTAATGGACAATGTGAACGCATGAACCAGGAGCTGGGGGCCATGCTGCGCTGTGTCTGCTCATCACACCTGTCCTCCTGGAGCATTCATCTACCCTGGGTGGAGTATGCTCTTAAACAGCCACATCTCTACTGCTACAGGTCAGTCTCCTTTCGAAGCATCCCTTGGTTATAAGCCCTCTCTTTTTCCCCCGCAGTCTTCATCCATCTCCTCTGTTCCCGAATTTCTTTGTTGCGCCCGCCGCGCCTGGGCCACCACCAGGGCTGCGCTGAACCGTACCGCCCAGAGAAACAAGCAGCTAGCGGATCGCCGGCGGCGTCCTGCCCCAGTCTACATTTCGGGTCAGTCTGTGTGGCCATCCTCTAAGGACATTCTGCTGAAGGCGGCCACCCGCAAGTTGTCACCCCGGTTCATAGGTCCGTTTAAGGTCCTGGACGTTCCGTCTTTCACTACTGTTCACCTAGATCTCCCTTGAAACCTGCGTGTGCATCCTGTGTTCCACGTCTCCCTGGTCAAGCCGGTGGTCAGCAGTCCTTTCTGTCCTGCTCCTGCGCCTCCCCCTCCAGCTCGGATGCACAAGGTAGGTTTGGTCTACACTGTCCGCAGGATCTTAGGCTCCCGCCCCCGCGGCTGGGGTATGCAGTACCTCGTGGATAGGGAGGGTTACGGTCCCGAGGAGTGCTCCTGGGTGCCACGCTCATTTATCGTGGATCCTTCGCTCATCCAGGAGTATGAGGCCGCTGCGGCTAGGACGCCAGGGGGCGTTCGTTGAGGGGGGGGGGGGGGGAGGGGTTACTGTTGTGAGCCGGGAGGTGAGCACTCTCCACACACCATCAATCTCACCTGTGTTTTGAGCTTCTCTGGTATCAGGAGAGAGAGCAGCAGCTGCGACCCATCAGCTGATTAGCGGGCCGCCTTCATAAGGAGGACGGTTTACGCTTCTGGTTGCCGGATGATTACGCCTCACTGGTAGAGTCCCAGCCCTTGTGAAAACTTGAAACCTTGTCTTTGAATCTATTTTGCATTGTGTTTTTGCCCTGACCTAATTCCAGTTTTTTCTTACGCTCCAGGCTCAGTCATCCCTCCCCATAACCTGCATTCTCGTTTTTGGATTCCTACTGCGTTACCATACTGCTCACGGTCTTCCTCCTCGGTCCTCGTCCTCTCAACTGGTTCAACCCGCTCACTGCACAGTCTGCCCTCTCTCTCCTACCTGCTGGAAACCCATCACTCTGCGCTCTTGAACGCTCTCTCGCTCTCCCTGCTCACTCCTCCTCAGACATACTACTTCTCTCTCCCATCCGTAAGTCCCTCCGTCAACGCATCCCCTGTCATACTGCAAATTCCCAAACTTACGTCTGCTCCTCTCCCCTCTAGACGCTGCTTCCCGTTCTCTCACCCGCTGGATTTCCAGTGCACCTTAAGTTGTTATTCTAATAAATAATTTTATTTTTTTTCTCACATCCTGCCTCCGAGTTTGATTCTGCATGTCCTGGGTTAAACACTTGCCTCAGGTCATGACAAGAGGTGCAGGTGGAGGAGCAGGACCGGCCGGCTCAGGCGGAGGCACCTGGGCAGCAGGTGCTTCACGAACCGGTGCGATGGCCCGAGTTAGGTGCCCAGCGACATCGTGGACCGAGTCCCCTTGAAAGGTCAACCGTGCGGAGAAGTGATGGAACAGGAAAAATGACAAATCCCATGACAGGCAGAGGTTTAGGCATGCAGTGAATATCACGACAGAATCAGCGGAGGACCAGGAGTAAGACACTGGTTTAAACCTGAGACCGGGATCTGCCAACAACTCACGCAGCACCCTGTTCACCACACCCACCCGAACCATGGTTGGACCATCGAATGTAACATGATCCACCGTAGCTGGAGAAAGAGCAAAGGAGATGTTATCATAAAAAGGAGAAAACTCCACTTTAGACTTCTGCTCACCAGGATCCAAGTAATATAGAGAGACCTCACCTACATGGACCGTAGCACCACGTGGAACTGTTACCCATAGGGTTTGAGAGGGAAGCACAACTCGTGAAGACACACCATGATGCTCATAGAAAACATCAGCTTCTCTAGCAGGGGTGTTAATTAACCAACGGTTTCCAACAACAACAGCAGTAGTATGAACAACATGTGAACATGGAGTCACAGTCATAGGACATTTAGAATCACCTGACAACTCATCAATGCCACACACACCACCGGCACCGCCACGCAGAAAAGGTGTACCTGGACACAAGAAGTGTAGGCCACGTGTGAGAGAACACACGCGCAGGTCCTGGACTAACCGGACGTGTGGCGTGTCCTCATGGTACGCGACGACTGGAGGAGTATGTAACCTGACATGTGTCGTCAACCCAGTTACCTACATTCACCACATCTCTTAATCTATAGATGTCATTTGGAGACACAATAGGAAAGTTGATGATGAAGGATAGCTCTCAAGCATCTGGATCGACACTTAACGGAAAGCCAAGTGAGTCTGAAGAGCCATTGGGTCCTTCGAGGTCACCCGAGCAATCGCAAACCGGACCATTTCCTGGGACACGAGGTATGGAGGGATCCTCCCCATGAGGAGGATATCGATCGAGGAGCTCACATCCCAACCATAGTCGGACAGGCAAGTGGTCAGCATCTGTGTATGAGCATAATCAACATTCACAAAGGAATGCAACTCATTCACAGCGGAAGTTGTTTTACGCAAAATGTCGCTATGAGTGTTGAGTACCACCATAGTCTGTTTTTCAGACGTGCCCAACCGTCTCAGGGCTCGCCACTGCTGCAGTACCTGCTTACACAGAGCCGGATATTCTCTGTTAAGCTCATCAACGTGTCGACGAACTGTGTTAATCTCAATCGAGTTGACTGAAGAGAATCCAAAATTTAAAACATTGCCAATTGTATTAGCAACTGAGAAAAATCCGTCCAGGAAATGCTTTGGCCTAATGCTGGTACTGGAAAGGTCACTGTTTGAAACTGTGAATGTAAGTGCCTGAATTAGCATGTGACGGATATCAGCTTCTGCATGCTGTGTCAGGGTACTAGTCCAGCGGGCCCCCGTTTCCGAGAGGTTGCCGAAGACATTCGTCATCTTATCAATACATGCCATAGCGGGGTCGAATTTGACGAAAATTTTTTGTGTAATTAGACGATAGTTAGTCATTAGTAGACCTGGGCGGACTCGGAGTGTGATACCCGAAGATGGCCCAGGTTCATACAGACACGTTAGAGGTGGCTGAGGATGAATCTCAACTGCGGTTGATAGCAGACCGAAACACACGACTAACAAAACTTATTTTATCAGACCTGAAAATGGAAACCAGGAACGTTGTAGGTTGTAGACTGGCGCGGCCTTGCAAGGGTTCGGCGCAGGTGGGCGCTTCTGAGGGCCCTCGGTCGATGCGCAGGTGCTGTCAGAGAGATCGGGGTCAACCAGTGGTGGTACAGGGCACGGTTCAACCTCGCCTTTGGTAGGTGAGTCACCAACCTCGGGGCTAGAGGCCACCAGCGCCTGCTGTAGTGCAGTAGTGTCAGTGACGTCATCAGCCTGTCCTTCGGCAGGTGGAGTCCCCACCCAAGGTACTGGGCTTCAGCCGGAGTATCAGTGCCACCATCAATTCCCCCCTTGGTAGGTGGTGTCCCCACCACAGGATGCGGAGTCTCAGGTGGTGTGTCACTGCAACCGCCAACTCCCACTAGGGTAGGTGGTTTCCCCACTACAGTGTGGAGTGGTCCTGATGCAGAGACAACTCTGGGTGTCACTGACCTTACTGGTACCAGATTGACCGACCAAGCTGGCGGCGCCGTTGTGGTTAACACCACCTGAAAAGGTAATGAGGAGCTCAAGGGACACCAAGGGCATCAGTTGAGTCGACAGAGTTTGGAGTGTTCAATCACCGAGTGAAATGACGGCTTTAAAGCGTTGACCTGTATGTATGTATGTATTGACCTGTATGTAAACAACCTTCGGTGGAATGGCACCTGCGTCACGTTACAAAGTTTATCTCTCACCAAATAGAATATTTAATAAGAAATCACAATGAAACCATAGAAACTACTTGGTAGCATAAGTTGTGTGTGTGTGTGTGTGTGTGTGTGTGTGTGTGTGTGTGTGTGTGTGTGTGTGTGTGTGTGTGTGTGTGTGTGTGTGTGTGTGTGTGTGTGTGTGTGTGTGTGTGTGTGTGCACCACCATGCAGCTTAGATTAGATGTGAAAATGTTCAGAGATTAAAGTCAGTGATGTTCTTTCTCTCTCTCTCCTGATAATCTGTAAGTTGTTTTCGTTTTTGAAAAAAAAAATTGGATTCTGAATTAAATAAATTGCAACAAATGTATGAATTTTTTTCAATGGGATGTTGATTTAGTGGAAAATTACTTAAAACCAAACATGAATACATTTAATAGATCTATGTGCCCCTTGGTCGTGAACAAAATCAGAGTGTAGAAAAGTTATGCGGCTAAATTCTTGCATTTCATTTACTGTAAAAGCAAGGTTGTACAAGCTGGCCCAAAACACTGAGGCGGTACTGACTGCTTGGATTTGGGACCATTAGCACAGTTTTGTAAGCCCATGGTCACAAATCTTAGTGTGAAAATGGATACTCAGTTTTGTCTTGATGTGTGAGTGCTAGCTTTCTTCAATTGAGACAGCTAGCAAAGATTAAAACCCTGTTATCATGACAACTTTATGAAATACTTATCAACGCATTTGTGATGAGTGGCCTGGACGACTGTAAGGCCCTGTAGGTGGTTACCAGCCAGTCTTTCATTTCACGCCTGCATCTGCCTCAGAATGCTGCGGCACGTCTTTAACTGGTACAAGAAAGAACGACCACATTTCACCGGTCCTTTCAGGCCTTCATCGGCTTCCGGTCACTTACCGAATTGATTTAAAAATGTTGTTACTTGGTTTTAAATGCCAAAATGGTCTTACCCCACAATGTCTGTCAGAGTTGTTGACTTCACATGTGCCTGTGCGGTCTCTTCGATCAGCTGATCGCAGCCTACTCGTGGTTCCCCTGAAGAAACGTAAGAGCAGAGGAGACAAATCTTTATTTGGCCTTCCATTCAGGTGGTTGGTTTCTGCTACGACTCTTACAAGGTTGCTGAAAACTGTATTATTTCTTTTTTATACATGTGTTTATTGTACAGCACTTTGGTATGTATTGTTTTTATTAGTGCTTTATAAATAAACTGTATTCAGAACTGGATTAAAAATGTCTGTCATTCTGTTGTGGAAAAGATTCAATAAAACTCTGAAAAGCTGATTAAACCCGCGTTTGTTATTGTGGGCCGACCTGTATTCTTAAAATGAGTTGATGGTATACAATAACTTTAGTTATTCAGAGCTGCTGTGGTAGGGTTAGGGTTAGGTCCTGAGTTAAAATGTGGTAACTGGAGAGGAACTGCAGGACAGACTGAAAGCTTTTGATGTTTAATTAAGTTTAATTCAAATATATAGAACATGATTTATATGTTGTCCCACACCGAAACAAGCCGACAGACTGGGATTACAAAGAACTACAATTCATGGGAAAATGATGTAAAAGATGGTGATTGGGTGAGTGATTATCATGTGACACATTGACAAGTGATGGCATTTATTCTAGTGTGTGAAGCCCTGTGAGCTGCAGATCAGAACGATACAGTGTCTGTCTGAATGAAAACGTGTTTCTTATTTGCGCATTTTGGTTGTTTTTTGCAAATTCATTAGCGGAAATACACAGCGCTCTGGGACGTCTTCAGTGTGTGAGATATTAGTGTAACTCCTCCGGTTTAATATGCAAGAAAACTTTTGTTCTATGTTATATTATTTCAGTTTTACAAGCATTTTAACACAGAAATGCAAATGGGAACTCTGCCGCTCCCACTGGTCTTAAAGGGTTACTCAGCTGCAGTTCACAGGAAGAGAAGCGACCAGAGGTTGTAGAGCTACATGAATGATGGTCTGTTAAAACAACAGCTAGGCCTTCACCATGACCAGAACCCCGGGGCTGGTTAAGGAAAGAATAACCACTCAGCTGCAACTTTAGACGAGTGGTAGATTCATCTCTGTAGTTATGCTGCTATTGGCTTAGACTGCTGGAGGACATATTGGGTTAACCTGGCTCAGGGCCATGTGCAGCAGAACGTTCTAGCATGGAACAAACCTGTCCATCCATCAGATGAAGCTGACAGACTGAACCAGGAGGAAGGGGGGCTGAGAGAAGAGAAACTACAGATGAAGGAGGAGACGGAGAGATTCAGGGAGGAGCTGAGCTGTTACTGAACTATAGAACAGACACAAACTTCCACATTCAACACAGTTCAACATACAAACCACAAGCATTCACTCTGTTCAACATGGACTGTTGTGGGCTTTCTCTGCTGGTTGTCACAATTCTAACAGGTCAGTTTGAATCTACAGCTTTGGAATATGTTCAGTCTGAAGTTAGATGAGTCTGACTCACTCTGAAGAGTTGGTTTTCTAAAAGTTCCAAACTTATTTCTCTTCCTTTAGGAGTCAGCTGTGAACAGCTGACTGCAGTGAAGAATGAAGAGTCCAGTTTAGAAGGAGCCCCTGTTACTCTGTCCTACAGTTACTCTAAATTATCACTTGGTGATTATTTCTTCTGGTACCGACAAGATCCAGGAGAACCTCCAGAGTTCCTGATCTCTCACCTGGAGTCTGAAGAAATAATAAAAGAATCAAGGTCAGGACTTTTAGTTAAAGTCAGCAAAAAAGAAAATCGTGTGGACCTGCTGATCTCCTCTGCTGCAGCGACAGACTCTGCTGTGTACTACTGTGCTGTGAGGCCCACAGTGACAGGAAACAGTAAAAATGTGTAGAAAACCTGCAGAGCAAAGACAACACAATACTCCACAACATCCACTAGAGGGACTCACACACTGGGAACCCACTGGTTGTTGAGTCGTTGGACTGATGACAAAGACAACAGACACATGAAGCAGCAGAAACAAGGTGAAGTTGCAATAAAGTTGGTGGAGTTCAAGTGGTTCAACATCTATAAATTCTGTTTTATCCAAATTCAAAAGCAGGAAATGATTTTATAACCAGCCTCTAACAGTGGATAGGCATTTTTCTAGTTTAATCAAGTTGTAAGAGCTACCCAGAGAGAGAGGGACAGGCAGCGGAATAACAATAAAAGTTACATCAAATGGACATAGCAGGCCACCCAGAGGCAGCAGATAGATTGAGAACAGCAGTGGGCCCAGTACAGACCCTTGAGGAACTCCATGCTTCAGCACAAAGGTCTCAGACATGTCCTTCTGAATCTGACATCATGTGATCTCCCAGACAGCTCTGATTTCAGCCATAAGTGTGTTTCCTGTTACTCCCATATAACGTTCTAGTCTGTCCAGTGGTCTGCTGTGTCAAAAGCAGCATTTAGATTCAGCAGCAACAAGACTGGTTTTTAACCACTGTCCACCTTAAACAACAAGTTCTTCACCATTTTCACCAGAGATGTTTCCACGGAATTATTTAATCTGAATGGAGACTGAAAGGTCTCAAATAGCTCATGTGTGGCTAGGTATTATATTAGTTGCTTAGCAAAAACCCTTTCGAAGACCTTCCATAGGAACAAAAAAGTAGTTCACAATTAAATCAGTGTCTAGTCCGTGCTTTTCCAAGATCGACACAATTACTGCTGATTTAAAACAAGCTGGGATTTGAACGCAAACACTCGCCAGTTTTAATAAGGTATGCAATAAAAACAAGATACAAGGTGGTAAAACTGGCCAAGATCATTTAATGCAAGAGTTCACAAATGCAGAGAAGATTCAGTTCTATTCCATTTATTTATATAGCACCAAGTCATGATTAGAACTGTGAACTGTATTGTATTGTAAACTGTTTCATTTCCAATTGGGTTCAGTTCATTAAAGTATCTTTCCAGAGTTTTCCCCTTTCAGAAGTGATGTATGATTTGTCAGAAATCCGTAAAAGTTATTATCTTATTATGTACTGTGATATAACGTAAGCTATATGTTTGATTTTTTTGCTAACCACACCCCCTGCCCCGCACAGCACCGTGCAATAGGAAACGGAGTGCCGACCAGAACTAACCAATAGTGTTAGACTACCGGTTACATGCTTCGAATGTAAGGAATACCTCGGCTGATGTAGGGTTGATGAACTTTTCACGGATAAGTACGTCTCTAAAATAAAATTATATGAAAACACAGCACAACATGAGAATAATACTCGTAAAACAACATGTTTTAGCTGTTTGTCGGCTACAGAAGCACATTTATCAATAGAAACGTTTAGTCGCCATCGTAAAAAAATGGAAGGAGTGTGATATGCTTGTCAGCCACTAGATGGTGCCATCGGATAAAAGAAATACTCCAGATTATGGCCGTAATTCCTACACTGTTCACCTGATCTGGATGTAAAAACCCTCAGATTAAAGCTGACAGCAGTTAGAGCACGTTGTGTTTGTTTCATGTCTATGCTATTGTAGTGGTGTATAGAGCTAGAAATGTTAGAATCGTGTCGATGTCCCAGTATTTATGGACCTGACTTTACAGCAATGCTCATAATAAGCAAGCACTCAGCAACATTAGAGAGGAAAACTGCCTTCTAACAGGAAGAAACCTCCAGAGGATTCTGGCTCAGTGTAAGCAGCCAGAGCGAGCGCGCACACACACACACACACACACACACACACACACACACACACACACACACACACACACACACACACACACACACACACACACACACACACACACACACACACACACACACACACACACACACACATTTTGATTTTGCCCATAGAAGAAAAGTTTCACTTCAAAAATATGTAGGCATTTGGGGTTTATGAGGTCTGTTTACAAAAATATACAATTCTGACTGTTTCATGGTTTAAGGGGACATTTAAACATTATGAGACCAGTATACACATTTATATATAACATTCAAAATATCAAGGAATCAAAGAGAATGGAGAGGTTTTTTGGGGAGTCAAGGCCTCAGAAGCACCAGTGGTAAATCGAGCACTTGGACCTGTGACCATTTAACTAGGAGAGAGACGAGCATATTCCAGGATAAACTTCAGAAATCTTAATTCAGAAGAGTGCATAGGTAAAGCTAACATTTATGCTAGTGTTTCTGTTCAGAAACCTCAACCTTATGCTACTTAAACCTCAGTTTTTGTTTGTCTTAGGTGTCCTATGTCCTGTTGGTGGTAGATCACATGTAGGGGTGTCCTTCCACAATAGTATTTCTAGCACCTGCTCCTCTGTTTGCCATTGTCTGTGACATTCACTGAGCATGTCATCCGTAGAGGTCTTATCCTTGATGTACTTAAAGATGTTGTTTCATCTTGGATCATAGCTCTCACAGTAGCTAGTCCTCTGACTCCTTCCTTACTGCTAGCGTACAGTTTCAAGGGGCTGGATTTGGGGTGGAATCATCCATGCATGGTTAGGGGCTTTTGTGTCTTAACATCTGTGGTCTGTATTTTTCCTTTTTGGCGAGCTCATTATTCCTGACAGATATCTGATTACTAGCAAGGAGTAGCTGTTTATTTCCCGAATCTTGTTCTTGCCCTTGAGCTGATTTCTTAGGACTTGCCTTATTTTATTAAGTATTTGGTTGTGGCTTATTTCCTTGCAGCCTAATTGAGGTTGCCATTTACTTGTTGGACACCAAGGTATTTGTAGCTGTCCTCAAAGTCTGATTTTGTTCCTCCTGGGAGCGAGACCCCTCCTGTATGTATTACCTTCATTTCCTTTGTCAACATTCGACCACACTTCTCAAGTCCAGATGACATTCCAGTATCAGTGCTGTAAATACTGGTGGTGTGGATCAGTGAGTCGCTGTCTAGCTTGCTCTTGATATACAGTTTTATGTCATCTATTTAGAGGAGGTGGCTGGTTGTGGTTCCATTTTTGAGTCAGTATCTCAGACTTATTTATGGGACAATAGCTATATTTAAATGGTATCGGGATATGATAGGATAGCTTGTTGTGTATAAAAGGCAGCTAGGGGTTCACAAAGTGTTTAAACCTTTTCAAGTTAACACTCAACACAGCTACAAGAATTAAACAAGAAAGTCATACTGACATATTATGACCTTTTTTGTAGAAGTTATTAAAGAGATGAATGTACAGTATGCAAGGGGCCCTGTGGCAAAATTAAAACTACAATTACCAACAATTTGCAAACATTTCTTTGTGAGGCTGTAACATCTATTGTGTTTAATTTGGTGAAAATCAGTGTGTATGATGAAATTACAGCCAAACGTAAGGCCACAGCTTGCCATCAGATTTTGCCATGCCACCACAACCCCATTCTCTCTTTAAATATCTCAGCACTGAATGCTGCATTACATCAGCATGTCTTCTGTAATTGGGCAGTGTCTCATCTTGATTCTTTGCAAACGGTCAAATGTGGACCTTTTAGAGTAAAACAATATACTTCCTGTTGTCAGGGGTAGTTTCTTTTGTAATGGCAGGAATTGACGCTGTCATTGTCTTGAGATTTGTGATGACACATTCTAGGTTGGATATACTGTAGCTCTGATCATGTGTCTGCAAGTTAATAATCCAAGGACTTTAATGTCAAAATATCAATATTTGAAACTAAGCCCAAACTACACCATTAGACCTTTTGAAAACTATTTAGACAATGTTTGATTCCCAATGGCTTATCAATGTTAGGTGTAAAGCCCTAGGACAAGTTAGTTAAAATATGATATGTGTAAAAATGACAAAATGGCATCATCTGACCAAAATGGCTAACTGTTAGTTTTGGAACATGGTTTCAGGAGATCACTCAAGAGGTCTACTTCACCTGAGTCCAGAGATCATTATTTCCACAGCCACAGAGAGGAGAGCAGGGAAGGTTACATTAGTGCCGAGACTCGTCAACTCTCTGGTTGGTGGTGTTGTGATTCTTTGATCTTCTGGACAGAAGAAGAACTCATCTGAGTGCTCAAGGCTGGGTTCAGTGCAAAGTACTTGTGTACTGCTATTCTTTGTCAGTTTATTTGATTTTTTAGCTTCCACTATGGACAACATTCAGGAGAGATTGAGTACTCCTAATGTTGTAGGTAGGGGTAGAGGTATATTATCTTCTCCTTTGTGTTTACAGTTTCACACTCCCATTAGTGGGCGTGGTTTTGTTGCAGGGGACAGTCAGAGGGTCCTGGGGTTCCAGTCAAGTACTAGGGTTGTTGCCCCTCCTACTGACGGTTCAGTGTATGTCACATGGGTCTAAGAGCAAAGGTCTGGCCTCTTCTAGTACTGTTGGTTCTATCGCTACTGAGATTATTAGTCAGATGGGAGATATGATTCAGCTGGTTAGTCACAAGGTGGTAAAGGATGTTTTGACCCAACTCAGACTGTCTGCCAGTACCCCTTTGACTGCACCTGCTGCCGAATCTCCCCATTCTATGTCGTCAGCAGCTTTTAACACCACACCTGTGCAGCTGGTTTCTCACAGAGAGCTCAAGGATCCTCCCTGTTTCGGGGAGATGGTTCTGATTTTGTTTCTGTGAGAGAGTGGGAAGATCTAATGAGAACATTTACTAAAAAGGGAAACTTGGGGCCTGAAGATCAAGTCGAGGAAATCCTTGTTCATCTGAGAGGCAAAGCCAAAGAAGTGGTTCGGGTTGCTACTAGAAACTGTGGTGCTGATGTTTCTGGTGACCCTGAAGCTGTTTATGGGATCCTGCGGAGACATTTTGATTCTGCTCAATACTCCCCTCTTCCATTAGCAGATTTTTATACCACCATTCCAGAAAAGGGGGAGAGTGCATTTGATTACTGGCTTAGGTTACATTGTGCTGTTGAACGTCTGAAGGAACAGGGCAAGATGTTGGATAGCCCCAGTACAGAGGTAACTCGAATGTTTATTAAAAACTGCCCTCCTCTAGAACTTATTATGACCTTTCGATCCAAGACGATCGACAAATGGACTGCCCGGGAAGTTCAGGAAATTCTTTGTGAGTTTGGTTCAGGGGTGGCCTCGAACTTCAGTGGTGCAAAAACAGAGTTACAATGAATGCGCAGCAGACACTGGCATCACTAACTGTTCAGTCAGCAGAGGGGCACAGTCGGTCTCAGCCAGCAGAAACAGCTACTTTGGAGAGACTCATTAGTATGCTTGAAAAGGTCCTTCTGCAGAGTTCTTTTCAACTTGGTCCAGCCAGGCAGTCTAACTCCCAACACCCCAGGATTGAGGGTCTACATGCTAAACCCTGCTCTGTCTGTCATGATGCGTCCCACATAGCTTTTACCCACTGTCATGAACACAGACTCTGTTTTCTGTGTTATTCGCCTCACCATGCTAGACAAGACTGTCCCAGATCTTTGTCGTCAACTGCCTCTTGACAACCGGAAAACTAGTGGATCCACGCTTGGGGGAGGACAGTGTGGATCGTCCAAATAAACCTCCCAGCTGTGTGGATGATGACTTGGAGTCCGTGTATGACTCTCTATGTTCTACTGCACCATCAGGTATGACAGTTGTTGTCCAGATGTTACAACGACTCGAGAAATCTGACAGCTTGTTTTACACTGACGTATCCTCTGTGGGGGGGAGCTTCACTGAGAGCCATGATTGACAGTGGCTCTATGTCATGCTCTCTCAGTGAAGCTGCTGCTGCACACCTCTTACAGCACTGTCCTGATTTGAAGAGTAATCCAGCTGACAACATTACTGTTGTTGGTGCTGGGGGACATCACGTCCAGCCAAAAGCAGTCTATGATCTGGAAGTCACTATCTATGGCTTCAAGTTACTCATTCCAACACTAGTCATCCCAGGGCAGAGTGACGACATGATTATTGGCAGCAATGCTATCAAGACATTGATACAGCTGATGAAAAATACTGATGAGTATTGGAGGCTTCTCTCTCTATCAGCTGATGTTACAGATGATGACTGTGGTCAGTTTCTGTCCATGCTTTCCAACTCTGAACAATGGAGGGGATGTCCAGTACCTGACAAGATTGGCACAGTGAAGTTGAGGCAGAGCATCACTCTTGAACCACTCCATGAACATCTTGTGTGGGGTAAGTTGCCTCCATCTGCACCCTTGTCGGCGGGCAGCACAGTAATTGTTGAGCCCACCCAGTCAAGATCCAGACCCAGAAACGTTCTAGTTGGCCGTGTCATCTCACCACTGTGGGGTGACCGGTGGGTTCCTCTCAAGGTGAGTAACCACAGCAACAAACATGCGACTCTGAAGAAAAACTGTAAGATTGCTGATGTCTATCCCTGTGTTGTGGTCGATGA